CGCACTGGAAAAAATCAGATCTGAGTTGTTTAGACTGTCATAAAACGATCAGATCCAGGCAGCATATGGGCAAAGAAACCGGATGTGGGTCACTTCAGGCTGCTGTGTGAACGTAGCTTAATCTCCATGGTGACGTGTGGAGAACCACAGGGTTTGGTGCTCGAGTCGCTCCTCTTTTTACCGTATTTATGCTTCTGCTTGGTGATAAATTGACGGTACTTTGCTTTATTTTTCCATAAATCAGAAAACTGAATCAGTTTAAGGATAGAATTAAAAATGTGAATATTTTCTCCAGCTGCCTGTAGGGGGCAGCAACACTCACTTTGTTTGTCTCCAGGTCTGCAGAGTTTAAAACTGAACCCTTGACAAAGAACAGCATGGACGTCCACAGCCTGGACGACCTGGACTTCATATCTCTCACACAGGTCAGTGTCGCCCCCTTAAGGTCGCAGCTGAAACGAAAACCTTCTCATCGCCTCATCCGGCGGCCATTAAACACTCAGCTGCTTTAAAATATCAGAGATGGTTTCTGTATGAAAGAAGAGATTTCCTGGAATCAGTGAGCTGCCAGCTTAGAGCCACGCTAACCGTATGCTGTGAGCGGAAAGGACACGTCCTCGGAGGGAGACGATGTCCAGTTCCTCTGACCATCAGGCCTGTAGATCAGGGAGTTAGAGCCGCGCCGTCTGCTGATAGAAGCAGCTTTGACTTTGATCCTAACTTTCCTCCCTCTGTGTGTTTCCAGGACAGCAGCGTGTCCAGATTTCGCAGAAGGACTCGCTCTCTGCTGGTCGGGAACGAGTCTCCAGAGGACGAGTTTGTCCGAGCGAAGGCTGCAGTCGAGGTAAAGGTCACAGACCCCCCCACCCCCTCCCAGTCTCTCCATAGACCTGCTGATAGGACCTGTTATTGCAGGGACTCCCTGTGTCCTCAGAGCCGCCACCCATTCATTGCAGAACAGACTCCTGCGTCCTACGCTAACCAAACGGAAACAGCTCAGTCAAAGCTTAGAGACAGATCGGATAAAAGTTTAATATCTAAGGAAACCTGGTTGATACTTTCCTAAAACAGTAACAACAAAAAACAAAGAGAAAATTAAAGTCAGAAGTCGAACTTGTGCAGCACTTTATTGGAGAATAAAAGTAGAATGTAGAAAATAGAGGAAAAGGGGTCCCTATGTCCTCCAGCAGTCTAAGCCTATAGCAGCA